AATTCCCCAGCCAGCACGGCTGGCAGGGGAATTCTGGGAGTTGAAGTCCGCTCATCTTAAAGTGGCCAAGTATGGACAACACTGACCTAGGCACTGAGCCATAAAGATACTTCGTGTGAAAACCAGCACTTTGAACTGTACATGGAAGCCTGCTGGCAACCAATGCAGCACCATCAAAACAAACAACACTGGCATTCTGCACCAACTGTAGCTTCCAGGTAGTCTTCAAAAGCAACCCCATGAAAACTATAACTGTTGATCCAAAATTAGATTTGATTATGAACATACGAAAAATGCAAACTAAACACAATACTACAATATACAAGGCTCCTGTTCAGCATTTCACATAGCATTTCCTTTTTTCCAGGACATTCCATTCTCTTCTCCTTCTGCACCAAACTATTTTACTTTGTAGCCAACAAGTTTACTCTTCATAGGGTTATTTCTGTGGTCTCCTTAACATATTTTCCTCTCTATCTTAGGCTATAATTCACTTAATTATTTTGAAATTACAGAGTGATTTGTAAGCCTTATTGAAAGACAACAGTAAGTAAATACATACCAGACCACAAACATTGCACTCTTGATTCCAAAGGTGCCAGTTGTAACACTGTTATCCTCTCTCTTTGAAGCAGCTTAGGAAACCATATATAATCTCTCTCATTTTATTTATACAACAAGCCATTTAGACTATTGGCTAATATAGTTACCATTGTTTATAGCAGTGTTTCTCAACCTCAGCAACTTTAAGCTGGCTGGGGAATTCTGGGAGTTTAAGTCCACATAACTTAAAGTTGCTGAGGTTGAGAAACACCGGTTTATAGTAAGATATTTTTTTGAGGTCTCAGATCATCTGAAATTACATTGCCAAAATTTGTTGGCAAACATTATTTTAGTTGATAGATATCAACATATAGAGATGACAGTGTTTTTTAATTCAAAAAACATATTTATATCTTCTCAAATATCAGTTATAATAAACTGTTGACATAATGTATTCTGAGGCATTTGACAAATGTACTCATATTTAGAATATATGATTCTCTCTAATGTATTATTTATAATATTTCTAGTTAAGATATTACTACCAATCAAACCACTGGCTATGCACATATTTCAGATATTAAAGTTCTTACAATATATAGTTTTTAATATTACTAGTGATTGAATGTATTTTGATAAACCTTCAGCAATCACCTAAAATATCTCAATTATAGAAATATATGGCAACAGTGTGGCATTTTTTTAAAAAAATTCTTACATATCAAAATTAGCAATTAAAAGTAATTAAAATTCTTGTATTTGAATGCAATAAACTGAAACATTTCATAAATATTTAATGATTTTCAAACGTTACCATAGTACGTGCTTGCAGTCATGGACACAATCCAAAAAGATAAAGAAATACATATCAGTATACTCAAAATGATAATGTTTGTTATCATTTTGAAGTAATCGTTATTGAAATCATCCCAGGAATAGAACAGCATGGAAAATCCAGAACTGATCACCTGTGTGTAGAAGAAAGAAGAAAATGTTTTAGCTAATTGTTTAAAGAAATAGAAAAATCTATCAAAAATCATGGAACCCCAGAAGAAACAATGAAGTAAATTTCCATGATGAGAAACACATTTCCATGGTGAGAAATTTCTTACCTTTGTGTGTGCATATCTGCCCAGTTAAAATATAATACAATGCCTTAAGTCTTTAACAGGGCAGCCATTCAGATACTTATTTCTTTGTTACTGTGTGTACAAGTCATTTGGTATGGGTGCTTACTTGTAATATAAATGCTGGTAATTCATCTCAGGAAGTACATTTTGAATGCAGGTTGGCATAGCAGAAAAAGGATGCACTGATAAATAAAGAATCCTTCCTCACCATGCACCCATATTTCTACTGTACATATTTTTCTGAGTCACATTCACTGTCACTAATATAGGGTTACCAAATGTCCAGCAAAAGGAGGACATGTCCTCCTTTTGTCCTCAGGACCTCTGTCCGTCAGGCATAGCTTTCAAATCAAATTTTGTCCAGTTTTTTTTTAGTACCTTGGGGGGGTTTTTTACATTTTGAACTGTTTTCACAAGTGATCACTCAAACTTTCCTATAGCGTGACCTTGTAAATTGTCTTCTTTCTTTCCTTTGTCTATCAACGGCCTAGATTTATGTTATTTATTTCCTGATTCCAACAATAGCTGTTTTAGTAAGTTTTAATAATCCATTGCCAATTCAATGCATAACTAAAGTATTGTATAATCCTAATCAAAATAAATATCCAGAGTGTTTAGAATTCACTGGCTGCTTCCAATATATTTTAATATTGAAAATATTCATATTTCATATTCATACTCCTTGAAAAACGTCCGGCATGTACTGGATAGAGTACGCTTTGGAAATGCAGCACAGAAATCGAAACTCTAGGAAAAAACCCCACCAATGTAAACTACGAGGAAACAGTTCAATTGCCCCCATCTTCTTCAAGGAATTCTGTGAAACAGCGAAGTGTTAAATTACCGCGACGACTTTGCCGCCGATTTCACCTATTCCTTAGAATCCCGGTTTCCTGGCATCTTTTATTACGAGTAAACAAACATTTATAAATGCGCGCGCGTTTAAAGGTAGCCCTGCCCACGCTACCATCCACTTCTGGTTCCTTATTTTATTTCAATCATGTATATACACTAAATGCTCTTTCGGGCTCGCCGCCCAAGAAGCTTAATGCAGTAAAGAGCAAATGGAGCTCCTAGGAGTAAGGCATCCCGGCTCCGACGGGTGCTGGGGAAGCATGAAGCCTGCATCTCAGCTCCCTGACACACCTCAGGGCCAATGGGGCCTCGTTTGGCTTCGGCCGACCTTCTTGGGGAGGCAGGTACCGTTCCATCCTCTTCCCAACGAGCCTCGGACCATCACTTCAACAAGACGGCAAGGAAACCCCATCGCCGCCGACGCCCCCCCCTAAACCCTAACCCGAGACTATAGAGTCATATTTAAAAGACTCATACGAAGTTTTACGCTTCCGAATTAATCTTGAGCAGCGTACGTTCTCTCCTTCCGGGAGATAGAGCGAGCAGCCACGCAAAGCCATTTCTTTGACAGCAGCCTTCCCTCCCACCTTCCGCTGCTGTAAAACGCAGGAGGCCTAAACTTCTGTGAGAATTGTGAAACTTTAAGTTTTAATCATTGGCCTGTAAGTCTACTCAGAATTAGTCAGAAGTAAACTACGGTACTTTTGATCAAGACCAGCTATAATTTAATGACTTACTTCTGAGTAACATGGATAGGGTTGCGTTGTTAAAAATACGTAGCATCTTCACCAAAAACATGCAATGGAATTCTAGGTATAGACAAGACCTTAGTATTGCAATATCGGATTTTGCAAGGCCGAGAATTCTTGATTGATATCTTTATTAGGACCACTCAGCTACTGCATTTGGCGGGGGGTTCCCCATGGACCACCACAGTTATAATTGCTTATTAATCTATAATGTTACCAAGAAAGTATCCCAACCACCGCTTCCAATTTGTGATACTGGGTATTGGAATAAAGGACACTATCAAAAGCAAAAAGTCAACTCTGCGTAGAACACGTATTATCACTCCACTTTATTCCTATCTCTAGCTCACTATTTCTAACACGCATGCGTTTTAGTTGGGTTAAAGTTGATCTTTCGAACTTTTTTTTTCCAATCAAGAAAAATTAAGGTCTCTGCGGACGCTTTTCAAGGAATTTTCGGGTTGCTTTGAAACTTCGTTTTCCATGGCCTCCTCACTAAAACCACCCTTTTCTTTTTTATGCGCTCCGTTGCTCCCGCACAAATGGCTGGCTCTTCCTACTGCTGCTAATGCACAACTGAGACTCAGTCGCTCTACCGGTAGTCATCAGTACAGTACTTTAAAGGTGTTTGTCCTTCCGCAACCAAATCAAACCCCGTAGAAAAAAATTAGTTTTATGAGTTTCACTTTTAGTTGCATAAACAGTACTGAATTTAATGAGACTTTCTTCTGAGCCAAGTTCACATTTTACCTGAATTGCCCCTTCACCATAAACAGAAAGAACTTTAAATGTTGAATCTAAAATGATTGGTCAGACCTGTAAAAATTAGATGCTTTTCTTTGCTTAAAGCACAATAACAAAACCTCAGGTGATAATCCTACGTTCACCTGGGAATGACTTAAAATAAATTACTATGTATAGATTTCACTTTGGTATTAACAAGAATTGGAGCTATCGTTTTACTGCACAGTTTCCTCCCATTCTGTTGAGATTGGGTAAGTACAGAAATGTTCCCAATTGTCCATTTCTCATCTAGAAATTGGGATGGATTCCAACAACCACATGGCTGATGCGGGATATACATAGATAGCGGCATCTGCTGTTTGAATACTTAAACAAATAGGCACACATGTGGTAAATTCATGTAATTATAATAATTACCACTAAAACTTTGTGAGCAAGTCTCATGTAGTCTTTCTAAATTTAGTCTTGATGCTAGTCTTGGGTATCTTTGCACCTGCTTTGCTGGAAATATGAGAGGCATATTCTTCTCAAGGGGTAACACTGCCACCTCCTTCAAGACAGGTGGTATCACCCCCTCTCCCAAGGATGCATTTAATTGCCACACATACTCAGCCACTCATCACTTCTCTGGCGGCCAAACAGGTGAGACAACAGCCCAATTGTAATGTGGGAATGATGTTGGGAGACAGGAGGAAGAGCCACAGGGTAGGCAAGGTCATCAGATATGAGGCAGCTGAGCCCGCAAAAGGAATGGAGGCATGACAAATGTCTCAGAAGGAACCTCTCTAGTTTATTGGACTGTAAAGGTGAGGGGGGAAAGATGTAGTTTCAGACTTGTGAGAATCTATCAATGTAACCTTACAATAAAGACTAAACTAGTACTCCTGGGTGTGCTTCTTGTCTGGACTACCTTGCAAGACTGACACCAAGTGGGGAGACAATGTAGCAGAGAACTTCTACCACTTCCTGAAGATCAAAGTAGTCCTGGGTAACATGGTGAAATATAGCCTTTGAATAACAGAATGTAGAGATGAACTTGGGGAAAGATTTTGAGAGGCTTTAAAGATTGATGTCAAAGTTTCGCTCTGCTCCATCTTATACCAAATAGAATCAAGTCAGGGCTGTTTTGTGTTTCCTTCTTATGCTTTCACTTTCCCAGGATTAAGTTGCCATTTCAACTCTCTTAATGGTTCACTCATTCCTTTCCCAAAGTTATCTCCAGCATCCAGTTCTGAGTGAATATAAACTATTTTATTTTCAAGATGTTCACACATTCATCATAGTGGCCCAGTCAATGATTGTCTGGCCCATCATTTCTTAAGACAGGCGTCCACAAACTTTTCAGCTCATTGACCCCTTCATGAAGTTTCAGATTGTTCATCAACCCGCAAACATTTATTATATAAAAATAATTTAATAAATACTAACAATAATAATAACAATGGATAGTCCCATCTACCCTTGGGGGTCAATACTGATCACTTTGGGGAATCCTGCCTTAAAATTATTTCAGTAATTCTAAACAGTGCTGCTGGGAGGCAATAGTGACCTTCTATTTATATGTCCTGTTTATTTTAGGCAGTTTACTTTTTAATTGTTTCAAGCTGAATTTGTAAGACTTCTTATAATAGAATTTACCTTTTCAGAATGTTCATGAAGTATTACTATCATAAGTCTAAATATATTTTCTGGAAGTCATTTTTAAAAGTGCATGACATATAAACTAAGAAAAAAAAGGAAATCTTAAAAGTCTGAATTAATGCAAGTCAGACTAATGATGCATCTATGTTAGTTTGAAAATATTTGAGAAAGTATTTACCTTTGTTGTTTTAACAAAAGTTTGCACTAATCATTTTCATTGTTATTAGGTACATGTATAACAACTATTCATAAAGTAGGAATTTAAGGCTGTAGTTCTGGGCAATTTACTCAAGGAACTGAAATCCGTGGGGGTTAAATCCTCATCAATAAGGCTGGTAGTATTTGTGGGTCAGTGCTAACAATCAGAATCAAATATTATGAATCAGTCCAGAAGGCTTTAAACAGAACCTAAATTTAAAACCCAAAAGGTAAAGAATAATCTGGGGAATATGATTGATGAATCAACTTTCTCCTTCTTCACACCCATTTATTCTGACAGGGGCATGAGCTTCTCCGTTAGATAAAGAGGAAAGATTACTTTAGGAAAAAACTGTGAGTATGCTGGCTGTTCTCTGTCTTCTGTCTTAATCAAGATTATATTGGCCTCAGCTATATTTTTAAAAACTTATAAATATTGATATATCACTTAATGCAATCCTTATTTTTGTATATATAAAAAAATCCATATGGATACCACTAAGGGCTCTTCCTCACCATGAAGTCAAAGACTCTGCCAGTCTTTGCTGGCATAAATTGTATGTTTTCATTGCTGATATCTATTTTGCTACAGTAACAAGGCAGGCAAGTAGGATTTGTGGATTTCCCTGTTTTCTTCCTACCATGCGTCATCCTGCTAGGGGAAAGCAACCACCAATCACATTTTAATATGTGGGAGGTTGCAGGATGGGGCGAGTTTAGATAGATGGTTAGAACACAGGTTTAACTGCTTATCAGGTGGTTCAGGTAATATATGGCAGGCATAAAAATGTGTGCGGTTAAGGAACTCTCTCAGTGCTCTTTGTAATCCCTCCTTTGCACCTGTAACCTGTTGGTCAGGCTATTTCTGAACAGCATTGCAAGGCTTTACACCTGGGCTCAGCATCAAATTACAAGTCTCCAGACAATAACCATTTCATTCTGTTTTTGGCTATATGTGACAGAAGACAGAACCAGCATTTTTCAGAAGAATATTAAACCCATGCTTAAAAACTAATCTAGCATTCTTTCAGAAAAACTCTACACCTATGTACACAGAGCAGTATAAGTCTTAACTCAGTTACAGTGGCAATGAATTGGGAGACTTGAAAGAACAGGTTAGGGATAGTTTATCCTGGAGAAAATCTATCTATGGTCCCTAGAATTTGAAAATGACTTAACAGCGCATAATCAATTAATAGATCTTGACTAGAACTAAGGAAAGGTCCACTTGTTGTTACTTAAGCAGATACTTTTGTGGCCTGGTCTCTCCTGCAAGCCCAGCCAAAATGGGCTTTCATCTCCCAACCATGTCAGCAACTAAATGGGCAGTGAAGGCTGGTAGATTGTCTTCATAGCAAAATTGAGCTGGGATAAGAGGAAAAACTATTTCAAAACCAGAACATCTAGGGATGACTTTAAGATGTCTCAGATATGGACTGGGGTTAAGACAAAAGTAATATAATGAGGACATGGCAGAATAAAGAGGTTGCCAAATTTGAAAGAAGATATTTATAACTAATTGAAGAATACTGCTCTACAGGCTAACTCAGAATCTAGCTAGTATGTTTGCACCATCAAGGAGACAATATGTTTTCATTGGGTAACTATGGCTAAAATATAGGGTGTCAACATAGCAAACTATCTGTTTTGACTGATATCCCAACCACCAATTCTGGGTTGGAGTGGCTCAAAGGTGGCACCACTGTGGACAGGAAGACAGATTTCCCTCTACCCTCTTCATATTTCTTTTTCTAAACAGACAACTAAAGGACCGCATTATAAATTGTTACTGATTGAAATACATTGTGCTTTGTTTTTAATGTTCAGGAAGGTTTTTGCCAATACCTAGTGCTTAAGAATTTGGCTACTCTCTGTCAACCACAGTTGGTGGTTTAGCTAAATAAACAATTATTTAGACATCATTAATGTTCCACTCATCATTCAGATTAATGTATTGCCATTGGTAAACTATTGGTATTTGAAAACACCTCAATTATGCTAATGGAAAATGCTCTGGAAGTCTTTGCATAGCACATTCCATCACAAACTACCAATAGCATCTTAGCTTAGCCTGTTCTGTGAACTCAGCCAGT